TATGTCGACAGTAAGGCTCAAATAAACTCACACAAAAAAATCTTTACAGGTTTCAATGATTTTTTCGTTAACAAAACCATTGGCTGAGTTGGCTGGGTGGATTTAGCATCAGTCTATGGACTGAAAGGTCCCAGGTTCGATTTCAGTCAAGGACACATCCTTGGGTTGCAGGCTCGATCCCCAGTAGGGGGCGTGCAGGAGGCAGCCCATCAGTGATTCTCTGTCATCATTGATGTTTCTATCTCTCTTTCTCACCCTTCCTTTCTGAAGTCAATAAAAATATATTTAAAACAAACAAAAAAACATTTGAATGGTGTGCTTCAATGTCTGAATTTTGTTCTATATAAATTATACCCCAAGGAAACTTAAAATAAAAGGGAGGAAATGGGTTGAAGGTGGGGTTGTCTCAATTACACACCCCCACCCTCTTCCCCAGGCCCCTTGGCTGAAATGCAAATGTAACCACTTCCTCCCCAGTGACCACCTCTGAATTCTAAGAGGTGCTGGGAGGGTGTTGAGAGATCCAATTACATCCTCCTTCTGAGACCTTGGGGGCCACACACCAGACAGAAACAGGCACCAGGGGCCCCTCAATGCACTCTTCTCTCAGCCCAGATCTATTTCTGAAGGGGTCGTGGTAACTGTTAAATGTCAACCTTCAAAAGCATTAACTTTTTTTTTCCCTTTAGAAAAATTTATTTTTATTGTTGACAGTATTACAGACGTCCTCCATTTCCTCCTTTGCCCCCCTTCACCCAGCCCCAGCCACACCCCAGGCCTTTGCCACCACACTATTGTCTGTGTCCAAGGGCTATGCATATATGTTCTTTGGTTAATTTATTCCCACCCTCCCCTCTCCCTTCCCCTCAGAGATCTGTCAGTCTGTCCCATGCATCCATGCCTCTGGAGCTATCCTGTTCATTGTTTTATTTTGTTCTTTAGGTTCCACATATAATATTTTCCTTCTCTGACTGGCTTATTTCACTTAGCATAATAATCTCCAGGTCCATGATGTTGCAAAAGGTAAGAGATCCTTCTTTTTTACAGCTGCATAGTATTCCACTGTGTACACTGTATAAATGTACCACAGCAGAAGCATCTACTTTTTAAACACAAGGAGTTACACTTAACTGCCTCATCCCATCCACTTGCCGAATTATGACCTGAGCACTCTTTTGAAAATGTAAATTGAATTAAACCACTGCTCGGATGAAAACCTCAGATGATTCAATTTCTTTTGGAACCAAGCCTACCTTCCATGCATTGCCCTGTGAGGCCCCATGTGGTACGCAAGATGTGTGACTTCCGTGACCCCAGCCCCTGGTGTCCCTTTGCTTGCTCATTCTATTTTGTCACTCTGTTCTCAGGGTTCTGGAGCAAGCCACATTTCCTTCCCATCTCAATGCCTTTGCACTTGCAGTTCCTTCTGCCTAAAATGTTTCCCCAAGGCTGGGTCCTTCTTACCATCCAGCCTGCCCCTAAATGTCACCACCTTGCCCCCTCATTGGCTTTCGATGACACTTAGTTTAGTTCCTATGAACATTTGTGTAGTTTGTCCATTATTTCTTTGTGTCTGTTACTTCCCACTAGCATACAGGCTCCATGAGGGCTGCCACTTGTACATATTTCTGCGGGATATCTGTAAGCACAGAAAAAAGCCTTTCCTTTTCTTTGCTATGGTTTTCCACAATTTATGAGAAGCACCTGGTAATTAAACTCCAAGATTTTAAAACTCAAACAACTCTGTTCAAACCTTGGGACAAGAGAAGCTACTCTCAAGGCTACATTCTTGCATCCTCCTCCTCCCTGCTGTTTTCACAATTCAGGGATAATCTGCACCAAGGAATCTCTAGTTAGTAGAAAGTTCCCTTCCCCCCTCTGCCCACCCCCAAGCCTTCAAACAAGCCTCTTTGAACTCTTCATAACTTTTGCTCTTGGCATGTTTTACAGACTTGGGGAAAAACACTGATCAGACACCTCCTTAGGACATCTGTTGGACTGTCTCCTGGAAAACAAGCAAACTGTAGCTTTTCAAAGTAAAATAAACTTCCTCTCTGCATCTTTTCCCTTCGTTGTGAATTCTTTCACAGTCTGTCACCATAGCCAAAACCCTGACAGTATCCGCAGTGCATACTCAAGGGCCTGCTCAGTATTGGAGGGTGGAAGGCGGGAAGGAGAGAACAGGTAGTTGGGCAGGTGGGTGGATAGAAGAATGAATGAGTGGGGACCCTGGCTAGGTAGCTCACTTGGTTAGAGAGTCATCCTGATATGCCAAGGTTTCAGGTTCAATCCCCAGTCAGCGCACATACAGGAACCAACCAATGAATGCATAAATAAGTGGAACAAAAAGGTGATGTTTCTCTCTCTAAATAAAAAACGAAGAATGATGAGTGGGTAGGTAGGTGAGTGGGTGAGTGGAGATAAGGGATGAAGACAGACAGGCAGGAAGGGGGGAGAGAGAAAGACAGGGGAGGTTAATACACACCCAGAAGAGAAATGAGTGACCAAGAATGTTAAGAGCAGCCTGGCTGGTGTGGCTCAGTGGTTAAGCATGGGCCTGTGAACCAGGAGGTCACAGTTCCATTCCCAGACAGGGCACGTGCCTGGGCTGCGGGCTCCCTGGCAGCTGATTAATAATTCTCTCTCATCATTGATGTTTCCATTTCTCTCTCCCTCCCCCTTCCTCTCTGAAATCAATAAAAATACGTTTAAAAAGAAAGCTAAATGAGTCAACAATGTAAACTCAGGAGCCCAGGGGACTGAGTTCAGCCTCAGCTGTGTGGCAGAACAGCACCAGAATGCTTCTGATGATCGGACCCCCGTTCGGCGTCCTTGGTTCTTGAGCTCTGGCTCAGAAACAATTCAGGGCCAAGACAAAGCACAAGAGAAAGTTTGTTTGGAAAGTCACAGAGGCGGGAGAAGTGAGCAATAGAGGAAACGGGCTCTGAAACAAGCTGTGGAGGCAGAAGGAGGGCCCTTGGAGCCCAGGAGACAGAAAGGTGAAGGCAACCCCTGGGGGGCAGGCGAGGGGAGGGGAAGGCACAGGTGTGCTTCCTGGGGAGAGGGGACCTCGGTGGGGGGAAGGGAGGAGCGGGGTCCTCAGTCCAAAGGGCTGTTGAGGGCAGGGACTTTAGGGGAGGTCCCAGGGGAGAATCCAAACATAATGTCCTCAGCTTCCCAGCTGTGTGCTTTCAGGGTCCTGGTCTCCGCTGATTGGACGGTGCCAGGGGGTCATGCATCAGGTCATGGGGTGGCCTGTCTGGTTTTGCTGCTTCTCTGGGCCTGGAGCCGAAACACAAAGGAGGCCTCCATGTATTTGATGCATGCGGGTCAGAGCTCACTGTCCCCCTTAAAAATGCTTAAGGCTGTTCTCTGGCCCCTGGTCTATCTCTCCCCGCCTCCCCCCTCCAAGGGGGTCTGACTTGCACGATGAGCAGCCTGCCAGGGGCGGGAAGGTCAGGGGAGTGTCCAAACCACAGGACCAGCCATGTGCCAGGGAGGAAAGGTCACACTGGGGGCGAGGTCCCTGTTTTCCCAGTTTTGCCCGTTGCTAGGAGCCTGGGGCTTTCCAGCCGGGTGGCCTTCTGTACCTGCCGCTGTCTGTGCCCAGCCTGTCTGGCTGTCTGAAAGTCGCTGCACTTCTCTGGCCCGAGTGTTTGTATCTGTGAATAAGGAGGACGGCGGTGACGGAAATAAATAACGATTTTCTCGGCTCATTCCGGGTGAGCTCCTGCATCCTGCGAGTCCTGGGCACAGAGCAAGCGCCGCCCCCCTGCTCTGGATCTTCCCGCTGCTGCCAACCTCTGATCCCGGGCATCAGACACCTCGCCCAGAAGATGGCTAGACAGAAAGTAAAGAGCTGGCTATCTCCCAAGACTTGTTCTCCAGAGAATGCCACATCCTTCCCATCAGCCAAGTTCCTCAAAAACAACCAGAGAAAGAAAAAGAAAAATAGAAGAAATAAACAGTAAGATGCTTTCTCTTTTCCCCCTTTGGACCGGACATGTGGGTGAGCTGCAAATTGTTTCCCAAAAATGAGTCAGTGGGGAAGCGATGACGTGCGGTTTGAGCCGGCCCGTGCCATCCAAACACCGTTCACCAGCCCGTCCGCCCTGAGCCCCTCGTCCGGGCCCATTTCCACAGGTTCAAACCCTGGCGGGGACACGTCTCGGCGTGTGTGACATTTCCGCCCTCTGGGCCTCAATTTCTCCACCCGTGAAATGGGAATAACCTCGTCTGCCTCACGGGGTTTGTGGATACAGCGAGATCACCCAGGAGCCTCCAAACTGTAAAAGAGTCAGAGTAGCCACGGCCGCCGCCATGCTCCTGCCCCCTGAAGCTGCTGCAGGCATTTGCTGAATTTTGCACCCTGGCTTTTCCAAGGTCGGCCTGAGAGATCTGACCCTCTCACCGGCCCCCGGCTCGTCTGCAAGATGAAAACCCTCTTTAGAATCCTTTTCTCTGTTTTCATCCCAAATTCCCATGTGTCATGGCTGCTCCCCAAAACCCCGTCCAATGGCTGTGTCCCCATTTAACAGATGGGCAAAGGGAGGCCTTCAGAGAGGTGATGTGATATGCCCAAGGGATTGTCTCCTGTAGGGTGTGGATGCAGGGTCCTGCTCCCTGCAGCCCTGCAGCTACAGGCTGGATTCAAAAATCTTGGGGTCCCAGACCTCCCCCGGGCCCCCAGGCAGCATGCCCAGCGACGCACACCAGACTGGGAGAGGGGCTGCGGTGGGGTCACTGCCATGGCTGCACCAGGGCACCCGGGCTCTTGGTCTCTCTGAGCTGAGAGTTGGACGCTCAGGACCTCCAGGGCCTCCCTGTCCAGTATGGCACCTCTACACCCCTCCTGCCTGCCTGCCTTTGGGTCATGACCTTGGGGAGCAGTGGGCCCTCCCACCTCTTTCTCACTGCCTCTGGGAGGAGCCAGCTGCTCTGTGGGCGGGGCAGTGGGCAGCTCTCACCACATCCTCCTCTTCCTCTCCTTCCTCCTCACCCTGCACACACTCCGGGCAGCTATGTCAGCGGCGGCTGCTTCTGAGGGACCCACGGGGGGCCCTCTGCCGAGCCACTGACAGGCTCGGGGCTCCATGTCTGCCTGCTGCTCCCTGAGCCCCAGGGGCAGCCTGCCTGACCTTCTGCCCGCCTGCCTCCCGCCTGTCTGCCTGGCCAGCCCCTGCCTGCCGTCTGCCCATCTCTGCACAGGCGACCCGTCCCTGCCCCACGATGACCCTCTTCTGTCCGTGTCTGACCGCTCTGGGACGTGACTGACCCCTGCGTGGCCTGCCTGCCCAGGGCCCAGCGTCCCTCTGCCCGGGGCACAGGTGGCATCCTGTCTGGTGGATGACTCGGTGTGGGGTGTGGACTGCTGCCCGGGAGCCCTGCCTGTGCTCCCTCCGCACGGAGCCCGCTGCCCCCTGGAGCCACGGAGTGCCCTGAGCTTGCGGAATGGACTTCTGAGGAAGGAGCTGGAATGGCAGGTAACTCCTCTGCGCTGGGCAGGGGCACGGGCACCCTCTCTGCCCGGAGGGCCCGGCCTTGCTGAGTGGAGGGCGGAGAGGGATCCTGGGCCCTCAGCACGGCTGGGACATGAGTGAGGCCGGCATTGCTGGGCTGGCGTCTCCGGCTCAGCCCGGCTCAGCACGGAGGGCCTCTGTGGGGTGGCGGCCGGGGGCCCGGGGCAGGCATGGCCGGGCGGCCCAGGGACTCTGTACAACTAGCGTCCCCACCGCAGGGCGCTGGGGGGGAAAGCCGGTTCTAGATCAAATGTGACTGACGGTCCCGGTGTTCTGGGCAGCTGAGCGGGGCAGGGTGGGTGGTGTGACTGTGTCGCTGCTAGGGGCCATTTGGGGGTGAGTGGGAAGCACTGACCGTGTGCGAACTTCTGAGTTTTATCCCCTCATTGTACCTGATGCCTCACATGAGTTGGTGTGCCCATTTCCCAGAGAGAGGACTGAGGCTAGGAGCGGTGGGAAGACTTTCCCAGGGTGACGCAGGCAGCGGGAAGCAAGTGGCTGGGGCTGTCCTGTCCTCCACGTGCTGTCTCCTCTCTCGCATGAAAGAAGGGGGCCAGGCGATGGGGGCACACGGGAGCTGTGCGCCGGGCTGGGGCCGAGGCTGAGCCCTGGAGGGTGGGCCCGTTTCTGGCTGAAACAGGCGAAAGCAGGGACAGGCACATGCCTGGCAGGGGAGTGGGTCAGCGAGGCCTGGAGTGGGAACCGAGGGCTCATGGAGGATGGCAAGTTGTGCTCGGCCAGAGCAGAGGGCCCAGGGCAGGGGGCAGGGGCCACTGGGGGAGGGGGGCACCCGCATGGCCTGGGCAGGGGCATCACGGGGTCAGGCCTCGGGGGGGTCTGGGGCAGGGGCATCACGGGGCCAGGCCGCGGGGAGAGCACCTGAGTCCCCGGGGGAAGTGCAGGGCTCTCGGAGGCACATGGCGGAGCGGGGAAAACCGGGGGTCAGAGCCCAGCCATGCGGGACTGGGTAAGCTTGGCAAGTCTTTGTGGCTCTTCCAGCTCCATGGAGCCTCGGTGGTTCCATCTGTACAATGGGAACAAAGGCTGCCCCATCCTGTGGGGCGGGCTGTGAGGATTTGAAGTCATAGAAACAGGAGAGCTGCTGGCTGGAGGCCTTCCCAGGAGGGAACTTACAGCCCGTGGAGCCTGGAGCTCAGGGCGGGGGGAGGACCACTCTCCTCGGGCAAGAGAAGGTGCAGGGCCCCCTCGGGAGCCACCGTCTTGCCTCCCTTGGCCCCCTGGTCCGGCCTCCCTGGCTTCGGCGCTCGGCACGCTGCAGGCACTCAAGGGCCTCCCATGTCCCCCAACACAGGGGAGGCTGCTGGCCTCATTCAGCTCATTTCACGGGTGAGAGTGCGGCTCAGTGGGGAGAACCTTGCTCCCAGTCACCTGGAACTGTAAGAGGCAGAGCTGGGTTTGGACCCCCAGGACCAGAAGCCCTGGCACTGCCCACCCCACACGGGGCAGGGGGTCTGGATGGGGCACCCAGGAGCCCCGTGTTAGCAGGTGGATGAGACCCAGGGCTGGGAGAGGGGCAAGCAAGGCGGAGGCTGAGCCCTCGGGGTGCTGCAGGCCTGCCCCTCCCCGGAGAGGAAGAGGGGGGCTGGAGCCCCCCAAGGCTGTGGGCAGGGGTGGGGCATGCTGGGGGAGGTGGAAAGAGGCACCAGCTTCTCTGCAGCACCTCGGCCTTCCTGGTGAGAGAGAGAGAGAGAGAGAGAGAGAGGGAGAGAGAGAGAGAGAGGGAGAGAGAGAGAGAGAGAGAGAGAGAGGGAGAGAGAGAGAGAGGGAGAGAGAGAGGGAGAGATGAAGAGAGGAAGAAGCTCAGGGCGGGAGCAGAGCCTCAGGGAGGCTGACGGGGCTTGGAAGCAGCCAGGCCTGGGTTTGAGTCCCAGCGGTGTGACCCGAGGCAGCCACAAGCCCCTCTGAACCCGTTTCCTCGTCTGCTGTGTGGACGCAGAGCGCCTGTCCGAGCTTGTCCTGAGGTTTTGTCCCGCAGGTATCTGTTGAGCACGGCTGTGCGCCAGCGCTGCCCTGCTCCCGGGCGCATGGGCACAGCCGGCCGGCCCGTGCGAGGACGGGGCGGCCAGAGCACAGCAGGGCTCAGGGAATGGCCGCTCTGAGGTTTTACTTTCAGTGTGATGGGCAACCATCCCCTTGTGATTGGCTAGGACACTGGCACAAGCTAGGGCAAGGCCCTCAATAAGTGAGAGCGCTTACGATGACTCTACTCCCCATGCTGGGGGGGTGGGGGGGTGGGGAATGAGGCTCGGCGAGCGTGGGTCTCTCTAGGGTCACCAGGAAGCCGTCTACAAGCAGAGGGAAGAAAGCTGGGAGACGGGGAACCAGGACTCCCTAGCAGCCCTTTCCTCACATGCACCTTTCTCCCCCGCCCCCCAGGGCCGCCCAAGCCCGGGGTGGGGGAGGGCAGCTGGGAGGAGCCACCCCCACCCCTCGCTGGCGCCCAGCCAGAGGGACTTTTTATGACAGCTCAAAAGAGAGCTCTGAGTAAACGTGGAAATTCTGAAGCAACCTGAGAATATGCACTTCCCCGGGTGTGGGCAGGGGGCCCCCGGGGGGCCCCAATGGCCAGCACCTGCGGCAGGAGCCCAGTGGCTGGCCCCGCAGCCCCCAGGGGGATCTGGTTATGCAAATTGTCCCCACAGAGTGAGGCTAGCCTACCAGCACGGCCTGGGTCCCTCCTCGCTGTGCATCCTGGGGCGAGCCTCTGCACCTCTCTGGGCCCCGAGTTCCTCCTCTGCCTGATGATGGAGACTGGGACTGGGACTGGGACCCGGAAACGTTCCCCAGCACAGAGCAGGGACACTCAGGCTGGCGCCAGGCCAGGGCAGGCTGGCGGGGCCTGCTGGGCACGAAAGGGGCAACGGCAGTTGCCCCCCACCCCCACCCCCCAATCCCACCCCCACCCCTCAATCCCACCTCTCAGCCTCAAGCAGTTGTGGTTGAAAGCATGTTTTCTTCCTCCGCCTTACACCCAGCCCCTCCTGGTCTGGGGAAAGGCGGCTGGAGTGCCATGTGGCTGCAGGAGGGAGAGAGGTTGCACAGTGTGGGCGAGGCTGAGGTGGTGGGGCAGGTGGAGATGGCACGGGCAGGGGGCGGCTGCTGGGAGTCGGGGTGCGTCTCAGCGAGGGGAGGTGGCACAGGCTGGGGGAAGTGCCGGCAGGAAAAGGCTGTCCAGGTGAGGACAGGCGTCTGGACAAGGGCCCGGGCGGGGCGGGGAGGGAGGCTGAGAGCTCCCGAGGCTCCGAGGCTGTGCATCCTCGGGAAGGCCAGACGCTGCCTCCCAGGTCCCGCTCCTACTGCCTGAGCTATGATGCCCATGTCCTGGCCTGCCTGCCTTAGACACCCACAGCCCGCTCCTCATCACAGGCAAACACATAAAGTAACACTACCCACACGCCCACAGTGTGCCCAGCGCCTGCCTCAGACCCTCAGCCAGGCCAGGCCACAGGGCACTGTCCCCATTCTACAGATGGGGAGAACTGAGGCTCAGAGAAAGGAGGAGATGTGCCCAAGGTCCCACTGTGAGTGAGGGGCAGAGCCTCCGTTCTGAGAGCCCCATTTGGTGGGAACCAGCTGCTGCCCCGAGCACCCTGCTGTTCCTGTCTGAAGTCCTTGTTGCTAACCTGATGACGGCAGCCATGGTCCCTCAGACCCTGGGCACTGAGGGTGCTGTCCAGCGTGGGGGGCAGGACCTAGACCGATGAAGCTGACGGGGAAACAGAGATCTCTCAGGGCTGCTCCGTGTATGACTGGACACAATGATTCTTAGCCTCATTCATTCATTCATTCCTTCATTCATTCCCCCTTCTTCTTCAGCTACTTGCTGAGCACCTGCTATGCTCCAGGCCCCGTTCTAGGCACTGCGGTGAACAGCACCAGTTCATTTCCCAGCCCCTGGGAGCTTAGGCTCTGCGGACGGAGAGAGGTCGTGAACACAAAACCGATCCTGATATGACACGAGACACACAAAGGGGTGTGTGGCCAGCGAGCAGCCGGGGAGGCCCCTTCCGGGCAGAGTGGGTTGACATCCGAGAAGGAGAAGGCAAAACGCACAAGGAACAGTGTCCTAGGCGGGGGGGTGGCACGTGCAGGGACCCTGAGGCGGGAAACAAGCTGAAGCACCCGCCTTTGTCCTCATGGAGAACACAAAGACCCCGGGGCCCCGCGTCTAAGAGAGGGAGTGAGGAAGAGGAAGGGTTCACTGGGGACCACAGTCCTCGGGGCTTTGAACGTGGAGGTTAAGCTCCAGCATCCATCACTACTCGTAGAGAGCGCGGCCGCTCCCTCAGCCGCTCACGCAGGGACTGTTTGGGCGCCGTGTGTCAGGCCCCGAGACCTCTGTGTCAGGACGCAGGCCACACGCGGCCCTGCCTGGGTGCTGCTCCGAACGCCGCCGAAGGCACCGGGCGCAGGAGGCAGGGACCTGAGCGGAAGGAGTGACTCACGCTCCGCAGAGGCCGAGATTTACGGGCGGTGACATTTGAACTGGCTCTGGAAGACGGAGCAGGCGGCTGCCGGTCGCCTCGGCCTGCAGACAGTCCGGGCGGCGGAGACACAGTGCACGGGCCCGGAAGCCAGCTGTCCGGACCCGGTGCGTCTGGAGTCCGGGCCGGGCACGGGGTGGCGGGAGCGCTGGGCAGCAGATCCTGAGAGCTCCTGACGGCAGGGATTGGGGGTTCTCTCTGCAGGTCAGTGAGGAGCCACAGAGGCCGTAGTGGAACGAGGGTGGGGTTCAGGGTCGCTGCTGCTGGCGGTGGGGAGGCCAGGAAGGAAGGCGTAGGGGGCAAGGTGGGCAGAGTCCCTGAAGACCAGGGACAAACTCGGCCCTTTCTTCTGTGTTCCCTTTTGGGAAGTCCCGGGGGCTCGGCACTTCCTCTTCTGGCCGCCCGCCCGGCTCCTGTTTCTGGCGCTCTGGGGAGTCCCTCCTCACCCGCTCCAGTGCC